GAAAGGTACTAACATGATCTATCGTTTTCATGTCATGTCCGACACATGTCTGAACCATGCACACGAACCGTATCGCCTGGCGCGACTTGTCTTTTTTCTACTTCGCAGGGTCTTTAACGGGGTCCTTAGGGCGGCGCCAACGACCTAGCGGTGTCTGTGGATAAGTCCTGCTAGGCCGTTGCAAGCAAACAGGGACGAACCAATATCTGTAGATGTTTTCATTTTGATTTCAGGACAAAATACACATATTGCCTGGCCGATAGTGAAGCGATGAGATTACGGCTCGGGGAACGTGACTTCCTGCTTTTTGTCACCTTGTATGTAGTTGTTCTTTCCAAGCTCATATCTTCTGTGGCGAATACAGCCTCATTAAATAGCATCTTTTTATCTATATCTAAATATATATATATATATATATATATTATAAGACAATATGTCTATATTAAAAAAATATATATATATCAAACACATGTCTAATGCATTCGTGTATTTTTAATTATCAGAATTCCAGCCAGAAGTCTCGTTCCCACGCCCAAGTGACACCGCGGTGCCACCAGTCCTGCAAACTCACTGGATCCGTGTAGCCTCAAGGCCGGGTCAGGTCCCCGGAACAAGCCCGACAAACCTAGGATACGACACTCCAGCGGAGGTCCGGGCGTAGGAGTCGGAGATCTCCACCGTATGCCTGTCGAGGCAGTACGGGATGACGGGATGACTTCTGTGCACGCGTCGGGCGAATCGGTTTCTTTGTCTGTTCAATCAATGTCCCCCCCTCGCCTCGCACACTTCTGCGGAGGCGTAGACCCACCCGTCGGGGTGGGGCCGCGCCTGCATCGTAGTGATGTGGTCACAAAGGAATAGCTAATCCCTTCCCCCTATTACTAAACCCCTCCCAAATATTAAAAACTAGGGTCCATCTCCAATTTCAGAAAAATTCAGATTGGCCAATTTGACTTTTAATTGATCCCCTTTAGAAAACAATTTAAAAATCAAGCTACCATTGGTGGGTTTTCCCCCCTAATAGTAAAAACTAGTTGATCCCGGGGTGTTTATTATTGGGGTCCGTCCGATTTTTCCCCACCTGCCAGGTGAGGGTTGTTAGATTTTATGTCAGTTGCCTCCTCCTCCTCCTCTCCTCCTCCTCCTCCTCGTCCTCCTCGTCCTCCTCGTCCTCCTCGTCATCCTCGTCCTCCTGCTCAACTGCGACCCTCGACGCACAGTGTTCTCTGTCGGACCTCAACCACGACCATCCATGCTCAGTGTTCCCTGCCGGACCTCAACCACGACCATCCACGCCCAGTGTTCCCTGCCGGACCTCAACCACGACCATCCCCGCCCAGTGTTCCCTGCCGGACCTCAACCACGACCATCCACGCCCAGTGTTCCCTGCCGGACCTCAACCGCGAGTATCCACCCCAAGTGTTCCCTGCCGGACCTCATGAGATATGCCAGATAGAATGCCAGAAGATATGCCAGATGGAATGTTAGATAGAATGCCAGAAAATATGCCAGATAAAATGCTATGAGATATGCCAGATAGAATGCCAGAAGGTATGCCAGATAAAATGTCAGATAGAATGACACAAGATATGCCAGATAGAATCTCAGAAGATTTGCCAGATAATATGCCAGAAGATATGCCAGATAGAATGCCAGAAGATATGCCAGAACATATGCCAGAAGATATGCCAGATAGAATCCCAGAAGATTTGCCAGATAATATGCCAGAAGATATGCCAGAAGATATGCCAGATAGATGCCAGAAGATATGCCAGAAGATATGCCAGAAGATATACCAGAAGATATGCCAGATAGAATGCCAGAAGATATGTCAGAATATATGCCAGAAGATATGCCAATAGAATGCCAGAAGATATGTCAGATAGAATGCCAGAAGATATGCCAGATAGAATGCCAGAAGATTTGCCAGATAGAATGCCAGAAGATATGTCAGATAGAATGCCAGAAGATTTGCCAGTAAGAAAATGTAAAAATGTCACGGTGGGGATCACACGAAGTAAAGTAATTTTAAGTCTTTTATATTAGGGCTTTTAATTTAGTATTAGGGGGAAGCTTCGACATTCAATTTTTGGCAATATTTAAATTGCGTTATATAAGGAATTTGAATTGATTTTGAAATCGAACAAACTATAGTTTTTGTTATTAAAGCTTTTAGTTTAGTATTAGGGGGAAGTTGCGTTATATAAAGAAATTTAATTGGTTTTGAGATCGGGAAAATTGGTTACTATTATTAAGTGCTTAATTTTATTCAAAGGGTTCCCTAATAATAAATACCACCCTATACTAAAAACATCTAAAAACTACCTCAGGTGTTTATTAATAGGGGAGGGGGGGGTTAGTATTAGGGAGAAGGGATTAGTATCTGCTGCCCCGTGCCTCCTCATCCAACAGAACGTCTTCCGCGTCGGATGGGATTGCTGTGCCAGGCACCTAATGCAACACGACTGCTTGCAGGAACCGCAGCATGAGAAGCTGGTCTACTAAGGCAACCCGCATCCGTTGACTGATCGTCGGAGGAGATCTCCGACTCCGACTCCGATTCAGTGTCCGTCATCAGGCCACGCGGCGATCGCATTTGATTTGTTTTTCCACATATCAAAAGAGCTGCTATACTGATGTTACTGAAGATTGGATTTTTCACCTGAGATCGCCACGGCTCTTTGGGAGCAAAGGTGATATGGTAGTTGCGCGCGCGCGCAAGGAAGACCTTCAGCTGTTGGAGTCTAAGTGGCGTAAGCCTGAGGCTCCGACACATATAAACCACGTTGTCCCCATAGTACGAAGGGTCCACCCCGACGTAATTAAGTCGAGCTTGCACTCCTGTGTCGATGCTAGGTCCAGTGATAGCCTAATTTGCGTGGCGCAACATACCCTCGCTTCACAATGGCCTCCAAACCGTTCCAGCACGAAGACCTCGGTCCAGTGCGCTTCAAAGGCAAGCGCCTCGCATACAGCAAACACATCAAAGTCCTGACGGCAACCTCTTAGTGGCACGCGTAGCGAGCGGGCATCTTTCTTTGGACCTCAGCGGTTTGATCTCTCGTGAAGCCTAATTTGAGAAACGTATTGCTTTTGAAGCTCTTACGTTCATTTTCTTTCTGAGCGTCGAACGCAGCGAACTAAGCTGAGCGAAGGCGGAAAGGCGAGTTCGCTTGATCTTCAAGGTGCTAGCAGAAGCAGTCGGTGTTCAAAGAAATGGACGCCATGATTTTTAAGGAGAACACATTTGCAAACGCGGCTCCAACATGCCTTCGGCAACTCTGTTGCATGCAACGGTTTGGGTAGTTGATTCTCATGTTGTGTTTGTCGTTCGTTGCCTCTCATGGGACGACGCGGGGTTCTTGGCTTTGCCCCTTGCCATGAAAGCTTTCTGTTGAATTCTCCCTGGTCGGTCACCGAGCAATTACCAAGCCGTGCTGAGTCGCTTTCCGCCCTTTTTTGTCGCTGACGCCTCGGAGCTTTAAAGGTCGTTGCTTCGGACCCTCCCGTAGACTCCATATATATATATATATATTTATATATATAGATACACATTCATATTTATATATATACACATTTATATATATATATAAATGCAAATACTTTTTGTTGGACCTCCCTGGGATCAAGCTCTATACTATACAGTCAATCAGTTTTTTGCAAAAAAATAAACATTTTTTGGTGCTCAATGAGAAAGCTCCGTAGCAAACACAATTTATTTTTTCCTTAAGGCGCTTTTTGCAACAAACCTCAAAACACTGCATTTTCAGACACGTTGTGAATTGGGGCCCTCCTGCTTCCTGGCGTCCTTTACTAGAAATAAAACCGTAAAAACGAAGGTTCGATGGGAAAACTGTTTCAATGATGGGTTAACAACAAGCAATGGATCATGATGTTTGGTAAAGAAGTAGGGAACTAGAATTTTCCTAACATGAACTAACCTACTCTTTTTGGTGAAATCATCGAAAATATTTACTGTAATGGGAGTGGAACCGATCCTTCACTTTGCACGCAAAATTCTCAGATAGCTAACCAAACCAAAATCATATAGTGCAAATCCAAAGGCTAGGGAGCCGGAATCCTTTTTTTCGACATGAATAATGAACCATCAAAAAATTGTAACATGACAAGAACAACAAGGTCTTGTGACCAGACATAAATTTGGCGCGCCAAAGGTACGTAGGTTGGTTGACCACTAGATATGCTTAGGCTTGGGACTTAAGTAGGTAAAAAAATGCCTAGATGGGTCTGTCAACCAGTTTCTAACTGAGGATTGCCAAACTAAAGCTATAAACAGAGATGATTAAACGCCGACATAATTAGCAATAAAGATCTGTCTGTCCAAAAATTGTCAGCAGAAGTATATTGCTTAACTACAAAAAAGCTTGTCTAATAGATTGAAGGGGGAATGAGGTTTCAACCCAGCATACCCATAACCTGAAGCGCCGAAAAAGCGAGGACTTTATGTCTGGGGCGGCCACAGCTGCCCTTGGAACGTATGGATTTCTGCAACGCACCTCTCAGTGAATGTTTCAACCATGCGGTCAATATTGAGACATATGACATGTGGTCAGCTTAGATCTGGAAGGCCTCCGTGCACACTTTCAAATGCACCATACCACTCCAAACTGGAGCCTGGATTTAATCCCTCCCAGCAAAAATGTAAATGAACTGCACCTATGCAATCCCAAAGCATCAAACGGAACCCTCAGTATCTCTTGCAGTTTTCGAGTTGAGATGTTTCAGCCATGGTACGCGTCATACCATTTGCCACAGCCACATCTCAGTCGTTCTGCACATTAAGAATACATTCGATCAATTGTCTGTCACCATCCGTCCGGATATACAGCGACAGAACTCACATGCAATCAAAGAGCATGATACCATATAGGAGTTGTTGCGGCGAAAAGTTGGATGTTAATATATGCTAATATATGATAATATATGTTAATATATGTTAACATGATTCATTTCGATATATACCATTGTGTATCCACAAGAAAGCCTAGTGGCCTAGTGACATGTTAGTTCTGTTCACCAAGTCAGCGATTCCTAACTGGGGCACCACCAAGCACAAACAAGAGACGGCTCAACACACTATTTCTTTTACGAGAAGACCATCCAGTTTGCAATTGTCTAGAAGTACCCCCAGCAATGGGGGCGGAAGACGCCCCACTCATTTGGCTTGATGGTGAAGTGCAGAACGCCTTTTTGGGGGGTGACCTTTGATTCGGCGATATGGCTATGAATCAAAACCCTGGCGTCCTAAAAATCTTAAAATAGATTGCTCATGGATCTTTACTCCACCAAACATTTCAATAGGTTGTGACCCTGTCGTTGTTCAACTTGTGAAAATTCTCAGCACTTGACACTGTGGTATCATTCTACTTCCTGGACCTCGAACCTCACCCTTGTGGGTTTCTCATGGTGAATGACAGACCATGCCGGGGGAACTCGTGATCGTCGCAATCAAAAGGTGAATTGGTGGTTTGGTGATCTCGGCTGAAAGATGACACGTCTTGCGACACATCTTATATATATAGAGTCAGTATGTGGCAATTCCATCTCATCTAGTCTCACAATACCTTTCAAAAGCCTAAACGTTTTAGTGTATGGCTGCAACAGGTAATCAACAACCAGTTACATAAGAATCTGGGAGTGTGAGTTTGTCCTCTGAAACAAGGCCGTTTGGTGATGATCCCCCTTACCATCCACCATATAGAGTGACGTCGTGTGTGTGGTTGTTATAATTCATTCAGATACATGGAGCATATGAGAGTAAATTTCGCAATCCGAGTGTTTGACATTTTGGAAATTCTCAGATAATTCTCAGTATTTTGAGTAATTACGTATTAAGATGTATCAAGCCCATTTGTAGCAACACACATATCTAAGAGTGATTCGTTCTATTACTTTAGTAGGATCTGCTTTTCTATCTTGGAGGTTGCTGAAATGCAAACTCTATGTGACAATGTAATCACTTGCAAGTGACTCATACCACGTGACTGCAGAAACATCGTCAATTGTGAAAATAAAACAAGCCAACCAAAGCAGACACATGCAAATAGAATGGGGATTTCCATCAACATTTGCGTCGTCTCTCAATCCCAGCTCTTCTGGTAGTGTCTAGGCTACCTGTCAGTAGACAAACATGGGAGCTGGAACAAGACAAGATCAACATGTACTGTAAATGGTCAAGAATTGGCTATAAAGGTATCAAAGCGATGCGTCCAAGTCTAGTGGATTGCGCGTTCCGTAGATTGATAGTCCTGGTAGTCCCATAGATAGCTGAGTGCATCACTTTTTCTTTTCTTTCTTTTCCTTCTTCTTCTCTTTCTTGACTTTATTCACGGCCTGACAAAAGCTGCTTCAGGCGAAAGACATGCAGCCACAGCTTTGGGAATTTGAAACGGTCCAACTAGCGATCAACACCAATCAACAAACAGAACGTGGGTTTGCCTCAAAATTGAACAGCCCTACGGTACATCCACAAGGTTAAGCATCATTTCCTGAAAGTTGTCATTTGATGCTGTTGTTCTTGTTCTTCTTGTTGTTGTTGTTGTTGTTGCTGTTACGGAGATGCATTTTGATGAAGGCGACGATGACGACGATGATGTCATTGATGACGATGATGACGATGACGATGCTGATGCTGCTGCTGCTGATGATGATGATGATGATGCTGCTGATGATGATGATGATCATGGTGGTGGTGGTGGTGGTGGTGGGTGGGGTGGTGGTGGTGGGTGTGTGGTGGGTGGGGGGTGGGTGGTGGGTGGTTGGGTGTGTGGTGGGTGTGGTGGGGGGTGGTGGTGGTGGTGTGGGGTGGTGGTGGGGGGTGGTGATGGGGTGGTGAGGTGGTGGGTGGTGGGTGGTGGTGGTGGGTGGTGGGTGGTGGTTTGGGGGGTGGTTGGTGGTGGTTGGTGGTTGGTGGTGGTTGGTGGTGGTTGGTGGTGGTTGTGGTGGTGATGTGTTTTGATGATGATGATGATGATGATGATGAGGATGAGGATGAGGATGATGATGATGATGATGATAAATAAAACCCAAATAATATTTTAATAATATGATGATATCATGCAATGATTGAGTGATTCAACGTTTCAATGATTCGGTACTTCAATGCTTCGATGATTCAGAGACAACGCAAAATATGACGGCCGTCGGGGCCGTCGCTCACATATGATCATCATCCTCTGCATAGGCACTCCACCGTGGTTCACCGTGCCTTCAACGCCTTTTTGGTGTCGTCCTCTTGTTGTGCGAGGCGTTCATTCCGGGTCCTGGGGGCGTGCTGGGAACCTAGGGACCTGCACGTTTGTCACGGTTTAGCTACGTTTATCAAAACATGGGCGTGCTTGAAAATAAAGTTCCCAGGGTTTCCCTAAATTTGATCATTCATCATCAATTTCCATACTAAATCACAAACTTAAGAATGCATCCCAGATCGTAAGGTATTAGTTTGTAGGGGTTTGCCCTTCATGACTTTCAGAAATGCCTACCTGATCTCAGAAATGCCTAGGTGATTTGAAAATGACATAGGCATTTCTGAAATTTAGGTAGGCTAATCTGAAATTTGGTAGACTAATTTGTTGTCCAGAACGTTGTGCAAACAAATGTGGTTTCATATTTTTTTTACAAAATATAAAAAAAGACAAAATATGTTCAAAAAGATAAAATCTAAAATATGGTAAAACGTTGATTGAACGTTTACCTGCTCACGATGCTAACACGTTGTGATTACGTTGGCCAGCTCAGTGTGCAGCTGAGTCATTTGTGTCAATTGTATGAAGTGATGAGAGAAACTGGGCATGGATTTGACCTGTTTAGCATGGAAATTATGATTGCATGAACCACGTATGGTCCATCCATTTTCCATTTTTATCACCAAAATGGAATCACACCTTAACTTCGAGGCCTTAACTTCGAGCCTCAGGGTTGTCAATTTTGTCCTTGTTTGTTATTTGTTTGTCATGTGCTGTCATTGTTGTCATTTTTGTGATCTTTTGTTGTCTTAAAACAATGAGTATCGATGCTGCTCCCAGAACATAAATGTCCCTTGTCAAAACACATAGATCTTGTTTAATTTAATATAATATTACTTATTAGGTTTGCATTTTCAAGCTTGCCTAAAAGTCAGGTATGCAAAATGTAGCGGTTATTTCCAGTACGAGTGTCGTGTAAAAGTGTCCCAGAAGAGTGTCACAAAATCATAGCGGGAGCGCCGCTCATTTATGGACACAGCCTGCCACTAATTTACGGACATAGCCTGCCACTAATCTATGGACATTACCTTCCGGTAATTTTTGGACATAACCTGCCACTACTTTATGGACACAACCTGCCAAGATTTTATCGACATAACCTGCCACTAATTGATTGGCATAGCAACTAATCTATGGGCATAACCTACCACTAATCTACAGAAATAACGCCGACCCCGGATGGATCAGTCAACTCGGGCAGCAGTGTCTTGCGAGAGTGTCCACACCACAAGGTTGTCCCACAGGCTGCCACTAATTTCTGGACATACCCTGCCACTAATTGTACGGACATAACCTGCCATTAATTTATGGACGTAACTTGCCACTAATTTGTGGGCATAACCTGCCACTAATTTATGGGCATAACTTGCCACTAATTTATTAATAGCTTCCCTTACCCCATTGTGTCACCCCCTTGTCTGTCAGAAGGGACGTCTTCATCCACTCCGCCGGGAGCCTTTAGGAGGGTTACAAGATTTGTGTTTATATATTTTTTATTTAGGATCCTTTTTCTGCAGGGTAGGATTTTTGTTCTTGGCATCCAGGTTCGTGGCTTCACTTGGTTAGCTAATACGGTTGTCTGCATCCTCACTTCATCTGGCCGTTGCCACTGTAATGCGTGTAGCGACAGAAGGGGGAGCTAGGATGATGAGGGGAGCGAAAGAACCAATAAGCAGACTAGTAATTTTCCGTTTGGTTTGGGACTTTGGGGGGCGCCTTTTTGACCTATTTTTGGAGCACCTTTTTGGGGCTAAAAAGTCGCCCCTTTTTAATCCCCAAAGCAGTACCAAACCAACGGGAAAATTGCCAAAGCAGACCCTCACACCCTAGAAACATCCTTTACGAAAAGGTTGAAAAAACTGTTTTCGTTTTATGGCTCAAGCGACGACGGCGACAGTGGAAGGAACAGCACTTGGAGTGCAAAGAGTGGCAAATCTTAGGCGACGCCATTTTTTCATCCCTAAACTCTATAAATGGCACTTAGGGACACTAAATTTAGCATACCTCACTTCTAGGCAAGCGTAAACATGCATACCTAAACTCCATTAATTCCATTTAGGCACACTAAATTTAGCATACCTCACTTTTAGGCAGGCACTCTTGCCACGATACTCTTGTGGACACTCTCGCGAGACACTGCTGCTCCAGTTGACTGATACATCCGTGTTGGGCGTTAAGGCCACAAATTAGTGGCAGGTTATGCCCATAGATTAGTGGCAGGTTACGTCCATAAATTCTTGGCCGGTTATGTCCATAAATTAATGGCAGGTCGCGTCCATAAACTATTGGCAGGTAATTTCCATAGAATAGTGGCAGGTTATGCCCATAAATTAGTGGCAGGCTATGGGACACTCTTGCGGGACAGCAAGAAACTCTTGCCACGACACTCTTGTGGACACTCTTGCAAGACACGGCTGCCCCGCTTGACAGATCCACCCGGGTTCGGCGTGATGCCCATAGATTGGTTGCAGGTTATGTTCATAAATTGGCAGGCTACGTCGGTAAATTACTGGCAGGTAATGTCCATATTCGTGGCAGGTTATGTGCATAAATTAGTGGCAGGTTGTGTCCATAAATTTAGGGCAGATTATGTCCATTAAATAGCAGCACTTCTGCTATGATGCTATGACACAGTTTTGGGACACTCTTACAAGACGCTACTACTGGAGATGAGCGCTAAATTGAGCATACCTGACATGCAGGCAGGCACTCTTGCCACGGCACTCTTGTATAAACTCTTTTCCCAATGTTTTCCATGTTGCAACCTTCAAGCTTAAGGTTCAAGAAAATTCCGCGCGCAGCGCGGTTTTTTTTTCTGTAAGTATTCACGCTACGGTACTATAAGCAAAAACAGTGTTTCATGAAACTTTTCTGTAAGCATTCATGCTGCGGTACTATAAGCAAAAACAGTGTTTCATCAAACTTTTCTGTAAGTATTCATGCTGCGGTACTATAAGCAAAAGCACCATTTCATCAATTTTTTTTGTAAATATTCACATCTGTTTGCTTTCGGTTTCAAAAAGTTTGCAACAGCGTTACATTTTTTCATGCCTTTGGCACTGTCAGCAACTACCAGTTTGCTTCAAAATGTCTCAATCTGTCCTAATATGTCTCAAAATGTCTCAAAATGTCTCAAAATCAACTCAATTTTTCTCAAAACTCATTTTGAGACATTTTGAGACATTTTGAGACATTTTGAGCAATTTTGAGCAATTTTGAGCAATTTTGAGCAATTTTGAGCAATTTTGAGCGGATTTTTGGGGCAGGTATGAGACATTTTGAGACATTTTGAATCGATTTTGAGCAATTTTGAGCAATTTTGAGCGGATTTTTGGGGCAGGTATGAGACATTTTGAGACATTTTGAGTTGATTTTGAGCAATTTTGAGCGGATTTTTGGGGCAGGTATGAGACATTTTGAGACATTTTGAGTTGATTTTGAGCAATTTTGAGCAATTTTGAGCGGATTTTTGGGGCAGGTATGAGACATTTTGAGACATTTTGAGTTGATTTTGAGCAATTTTGAGCAATTTTGAGCAATTTTGAGCGATTTTGAGCGATTTTGAGCGGAATTTGTTCGGCCAGCAATTTGTATATTTGAATAGTCCTTTCAATCTACATGTCATTCCTGCACAATTGGAATTCACAAATTATGGAGATTGAAGCTAGGTCGTAACGTTTTTGCCCATTTTATTTTAATATTTGTTTTAGTCTAGACGCAATCCTTAGGCCAATTTTGAGCAAACTTTTCTGGCCAGGCCCATTGCGTTTGAATACTTGTTTTGGTCTATAGCAAGCCATTTTCGAGCAATTGAAAAGATTTTGAGCAATTCTACCCACATACCATCCATATTTTATCCATCTATTATTCTTAATTTAGCGTCCATATAACACATTCAATATCGATTTGCGATCAACGTGTTATCCATAAGTTATCCATGTTTTATCCGTGTATAGTATCCATTCATTGTCCATTTATTATCCGTTTAATCATTGTTTATCCATTTGTTGTCAATTGTTTATTCATGTATTTGGCATTAATCATGCATTGGATTTAGCTATTATCAATCTATCATCCATTAATTATCCATTTACTACCCATATATCACCACATATTGTCTTGTGCTCGTCCGTTTGTTGTCGATGTACTAGCAATTTATGTTCCATGTATTTTCCATTCTGTCATCATTGTTTCATCCATATGCCATACATATATCGTCCAATATTTTTTTTTGCTTCCATATATTATCAGTTTCCTTCCATAAAGTTTCACATTTCCGTCCAAATGTCCAAATATTATCCATTGTTCAGCCATTATATCCAGCTATTATCCATTTGGCTTTATGCATTATCCATGTACCATCCATGCTTTATCCATATAAGAATACTATCCCTTTTTTACCAATTGTTCATCCATGTGCTATCCATCGGAAATCCCTCCTCCAAATGTTTAAAGTTGAAAAAAGGCAATGCGAAATCCCTCCTCCAACAAAAGGCCAGCGTCTGGGACCAAAAGCAAGGGCAGCATTTTTCAGTATAGACTCAACATAAGGCCAGTATCTAGGACCAAAAGCAAAGTAGAAAGATAGGCCATACAAAATTCCTTGTCCAATCTGTTTGAAGTAGAAACAGGCAATACGAAATCCATTTAATTTTTTTTTATAAATTGAGTATCCATTTATAATCCGTTCATTTCCTGAGTTTCCATTTATTTCCAGTTTACTCGCCAAATATTTTCCAAATTAAATCAAATATGTAGATATTATCAATTTAGTGTCCACGTATTTTCTTTATATTATCCATTTATCATCCACTCATTTTCCATGTGTTATCAACGTATTTTTTACAACTTATCCGTTTATTATCCATACAGCATCGGAAACGACGTACGGCATGGAAAACAACAAATGCAACAAGACTATGCGCAAATTCCTCCACAAATAAAATAAAGTGCGACGTTGATTATTGAACATGCGTGTATTATTGTAAAAATACATCTACATATATATATATATGTCTCTCTCTCTCTCTCAAATATATATATATATATACATTTGTGTATATATGTTCCTTTTGCCCATTGCATGCCTACACAGAATCACACATGTGTGCCAACATGTGTCAAAAAACGAGCCTTCAAAACAAACCTTACAAAACCACAGTCTCCACTGAAACTTTGTTCCCTTAACTAAAGTTTGTTTCTTGCGCAAACAAACCTCAATTACTGAAGAACAAACCTCAATTAAGGAAACACATCGTAATTAAGGTTTGTAAACATAAATGCTAATTAGTTAGTGCCTTTTCAAAGGATAGGTATGTGTGCACGTCCACACATATTGACTTTTCAATTTCCAGGTCCACAACCGTATGCATGTATACACTCAAGTGTAAACAGGTATGCCAGTAGATATTCAACAATGTTCACGGTTAGATACTGTTGTAAAAGCACGCTTTTATTATATAAAAAACGTTTCATATCTATGTTCTGCTTGTATATTTCATTTCCTGCGTACACATGGTAGCGTTAAAAAAGCGTTTTTGTTTACACATGTATTTCTGCTTGCGTACATAAGACATATGTGTAAATATTTTTTGGTGCTGGCCAGTGTTGGCAATGTGACTATATGCTGGCGCAGCGATCAAACATCAAACTTTATACATTACCCAACGAATGAAAAATGTTATTCCCTTGAAAATATTCATTTTTTCTACTTTTGAAGTTGCTGACTTGTTCGTGTTCACATGTTAGGTGGCAGCCTCATGACAATTGACCCAAGTGACAAAGGCTATTCACAACGGCAACAATGACAACACCATATTTCATGTCAGTTCAAGCTTTGAACAAAAACCAATGAAACCACACAAACGCAATACCAAATTTCATTTCAAAGGTTCATTTTTTGGTTTTTGGGTTCAAAGTTGTTCAATGTCACGTTTTCAAACCTGTGAAACACGTTGATGTTATCACGATGCTAGCACGAGTCACTTTTGGCTCAAAATAACTCAAAAAGTACTTTTTGAGATGCCCAAAAATCCCTACAAATTAATCTCCCCACAAGCTGGTCGCCATTCCGAAGTTTGTGACTAAAAACCGTCTCAGTTAGGGATATCTGTTTGTTCCATTCTTGTTTGCCCTACTGCTTGATGTCAGATGCACCTCAAAGACCTACAGGAGGTGCAGGTACGTGGCTAGCGCATTGCCACGATTGATGCGCTCACAAAAAGAACCACAAAATCTACCATCTGGTTATTTAACATAGACATGGAAAATCACAATTTTTAATAGGTAAACCATCTATTTCTATGGGCCATCTATACCATGGCTATGTTAGTCATAACCAGAGGGTAGATGATTGTCGTGTCCCCATTTTGGATCCTTGGTTTCATAGCTTCGTCAACCCACTTAACCAGTGTCTGCGGTTGGTTCAGTTCACCCTAAACTTTTCGATGTGCAAAAACTAGTTCTGCATTTCACCATATCACCATATATCAATAGCCATATGTTAGCATATTATATGTAAAACACGAGTTGTATATATATATATATATACATATAACAGCATGATAGTCCCCAATTTTATGGCTAAAACGTCCCCAATTGTGCGCGCCCAGCGACTTCTCCAGTTTCGCGGAGTAGCTGTCGAACTCCGAAGAGCCAGGGACGCCCGCCTCACCAAGGTGGGGCCGTGGGCGACGTCATGGGGAAAATGGTGATTTCACCAAGCAAATTAGACTGGGGGGTCCTAAAATGATGGTTAATATACTGCTAATATACGGTTAATAATGGTTAATGATGATGGTTATTATATGGTTAATGAAGGTTAAGAATAATCTGGTTGGTGGTTGACCTACCCCTATAGCTATTGAAAATGGCCATTCATAGTTGATTGTCCCATTAAAAATTGTGATTTTCCATAGTTATGTGAAAGTTTACCGGAGGGTATATCAACATTATCTGGTTGGTGGTATACCCAGAGGGTAGACATCTGGGCATTGGATTTGCTTACATATGCCAGAGATTTCCCGGCCCCCATCCATTTTTGTCTACCAAAATGAAACCAATTGAACTTCAAACAACACGCCCTAAATGTTTGAATCATAGGAATATTAGGAATATCCTTTAAACAAACAGAGACCAACAAACTCTCTTCACATGGACATGGACATTGCCTGAGTCCACTTGATCTCTGGTCGTACCGCATGCAGCCTCTCGCAGCTCGTTGTTTGTAGTGGTGTTCTCTTCAACGTCATTTGAAGGTATGTTTTGAGTTGTCCTCCAAGACATTTCATCAAGACCGCCATCCTGATCTCTTCTGCCAGGGTTCTGCGCTATGTAAATCGGATTGCGACGGCTCGCCAAAAATCGTTATCAAACACGACGTGACATGAAACTGAAAAAGGTGGACACCCACAAAAACGCAAATGCAGAATTGAAGTGGATTCAGAGACACTTGCTCACCAATTCTTTTTCTCCGACAGGCTCAGAACTTCGCGCTCTGAGACCAACATGCTACATGTCTGAATCTGTTGCCTGGCTTATTGATTGGACTTTGTTGGTTTATGCGGCAAACTACCTGGTAATTATAGCTGGATGTTCATTCCACCAAATATGGTACAAGTAATGTGCTACATCAATAAACCATGCCAGTAGCAAACCAGTCAGGGGTCATTGTACTACATTTCATCCCAAATTTTGATGTACCCAATAGTAAACCCCAATTGGGGCAGGTTCCCAGCTTCCCCTGCTCAAAGTTTAGCTTCCAGTGTTTCTGTAGAATTAGCACTTTAACTAGTCCTTATCCAATATATAATATTATATCCCTTAAATGATCCCAAAAAAACATGTGCCCAATCCCAAAAACTGGTTGCAACCCCTCTGAAAAACATGAAAGTCAGTTGGGATTATTATTCCCAATAAATGGAAAGTCATAAAATTCATGTTCCAAACCACCAATCCCAAAAGATATCGCAATCCTTCAAATCCCCTTGAAATCCCCTTAACATCACCCAAAATCACTGAACGACGCCACCACGAATCCAAGCGCCGTCAGACGGCACCTCCTTCCAATTGGCCTCGGCTAAGCGAGTCTTCAACTCATCCCAGGAGACGCGCCTCAGAGGAAAAAGATGATGGATGGATGGCACCAAACAACATGTTGGGTTTGCCGGGGGGGTTTGCCGTGAGTCGGAATGAGTTTGCAAGAAGGGTAACATATGTTAAGATCATGTATGTCCATCCGCAGCCGTTTAGTAGGAGGAAATTTCATGGTATTTTCAGTGTTTTTCTTTGGTTTCACATTAGCATTTGCAAGATGTTTGCATGATGAGGGATGATTGCTTGAACCAGGTTCATGTTTTGCGAACAAGATTTTTTCACGGGATCCCGCGGAAAATTTGCAGGATTTTTGAACTTGTGATTTGTTGGAAAGAGAAATAAAGTTGTGTGTTTTATTGGAACAGCATAATTAGATTTCCTTCGGAGCCATGTTGAGTTTCGATGAATTGTTCGAATGTTTGGTGCTATTGTTCGATGAATTGTTCGAACGTTATTACTCCCCCCCATGTTTTTGTTTCGACCTAATACCTACAGAGGTACATGCATGAGTATTGAGCACATTTATATGCGCCCTTCAAGGCTCAAGAGGTATATAGAGTAAGCCTGTGGACAAGCACTGACCGGCAACAGGCTGAGAGTAAAGTAAAATAGTGCTGTCATTGGGGAAGACGCCTTAGCTGATCTTGAAGTAGACGCTAGGGCCCCTCTTCACCCCACCCCCCCAACCCCCCCCACCCCCCCACACCCCACGGACAGCTATTCCAATGTTGGATAATGAGTTCTATGGAACGCAAGCTGCCTGAACGTTATTACTCCCCCCCATGCTTTTGTTTCGACCTAATACCTACATAGGTACATGCATGAGTATTGAGCACATTTATATGCGCCCTTCAAGGCTCAAGAGGTATATAGAGTAACCCTGTAGACAAGCACTGACCGGCAACAGGCTGAGAGTAAAAGAGTGCTGTCAGTGGGGAAGACGCCTTAGCTGATCTTGAAGTAGGCGCTAGGGCCCCTCTTCAAGTGGTAGCGGAGCTGTGATCCCTCATTGAGGGTGAGCTCCAGGTAGAGCCCAAGAAATGCAAGCCATGGCTATGATGATGATGACTTCGACATTGTCGATGCAAATGAATGGAACCAATATGACTCTTATGCAATGAGAAGAGCACCCCAGCATACACAGATTCATATGACGCAACAGATGACCACAAAGGTTGCTCCAGCCTATGATGGGCGAACCAGCTTCTTTGCTTTTGAGGATGCAATTGATGACTGGTGTGACATTACGGAGTTAGAACCAGAGAAACGTGGTCCAGCATTGCGCAACAGACTGGAAGGAGATGCTCAACAATACAAGAGGCTATTGGATAGAGAATTACTCAGGGATCCCTATGAAGGAGTGGCTTATTTCAAAAGATTTCTACGACCTCATTTCATCAAAGGTGCCCAGAACGTGTTCTTATACCGTTTCATGCAGTTCATGAAGTTCAACAGAGGAACCATGGATCTTCAGAAGTGGATGACTAGATTTCAACTCACTGGAAATAGACTTATTGAGTCTTGGATGGATTTACTTCCAGAAGTAACAGTGACTAGTCCTGAAGCAATTCTGTTTGTTCAACAACGACGTCAAGAACATGAACGAGATCAACAAGAGAGAGCTGAAGTAGCAGCAGCCTCAGGAACACCCCATGTAGCTGTTCCTTGGACAGATGAACTGGCACTAGCGGCATTCAGACAATTTCAGGAAAATCGTAGAGAAGCACAGCGACAAGCATTCCCACTGGGTGAAAATTTGCTAGCATTGATTTTTGTAAGTCTAGCTGACCTGAGTCAAGATCAGAGAAACACACTCACAAGTATCATGACACATCGTGGACGAACCCTCGATCGATACAGTATTCAAGAACTACGTGACCTGTTTTTGGAAATGTTTTGCACTACCAAAACAGCAGTTGACAATCCATTGATGCAACCCTCTGGCATGGCACAGAGAAGATCTTTCCTCGTACTGGATGAAGGTGAATTAGAAGGAACCGACGGCTATTGGGCCGAAGATGAAGAAGACGGCGCAGAAGGATTCCTGGATGCCTTAGAAGATGTTTTCTGGGTTTATGATGACGCCAACTTCACATGGTATCAGAGAAGGTTCCAAGGCAAATACATCAGACGAGGCAAAGGTAAAGGAAAGAGAAAAGGAAAAGGAAAAGGCAGAGGAGGACGAAGGTTCTTCAAATCAAGAAAAGGAAAAGGCCGAGGAAAAGGAAGAAGAAAAGGCCGTGCTCACATGGTGAGTGAAGAAGGTTATGAAGATGAATGGCAAGAAGATGAATGGAATGAAAACTATGACGGCTATTGGGCCGATGATCAAACCCGGAATGAAGGCTATTGGGCCTATGATGATCTGTACTACATGGATGAGTATGGATACTTCCAGAAGAAAGGAAAAGGAAAAGGAAAAGGAAAGAAAGGCAAGAAAGGCAAGAAAGGCAAGGATGATGATGGAAAAGGAGGAAAGCCAGGAGATGGAAAAGGCAAGTCGAACTATGTTCAACCTCAGACCACATCAGCTCCTGCCATACAGAATCAACCAACTCAACAAGCTCATTATTCTTCTGCAGCTTCAAGTTCTGGTCATGGTTTCTTTTCATTTGGAACAACTGAACCAGCACGTGTTGATGTTGCAGAGACAGAGCCAGCACGTGTTGATGTTTTGACATCCACGTATGCAGCACAAGATGAACAACGACGTACTCGTCGTGGAGGACAGAACCAACGTGATGCAAGAGCACATCAAAACAGGAGAGAAATGAAGAGATTCCCTGTTCTGGTTGGAGAAGTTGGTGCACTACGACAAGGTGTACAACAACGTCCAGCTGTAGTGCCCAGGCAAGTTGGTCTTCAAGAAGGTGAGGCTTCATGGAAGCCATTGGCAGAAGGCACATCATTGTTTTCACATGGATGCTCTACAGAGATAGAGGAACCATCACAGCAGAGTGCTTTTTCATTTCATACTGTACAAACTGATCTGGCATGTGAGAATGGACTAGCTTTTCACACAGAGAATTCTGCACCACCAACTGTGTGTATTCTGGATCTTGGATGCACAAGAGCTATGGGCTCTCGACGAGCAGTTGAAGCATTTTGCAGATATGTTGACTCACATCCCAACAGTGGACTCTGGTATGAAATTCAGCCAACAAGTTCAAGATTCTTCTTTGCAAACTCACAACAATCAAAATGTACTGAGAAGCTCGTGATATTCATGTATGATCATGGATGGAACACTCAGTTTACAGAATTCGACATTGTCGAAGAAGGTGATGTCCCATTGTTGATGTCACTTCCACAGATGAGAAACCTTGGATTTCAATTTGAACTTACTCCAGAGAAGGCTTATTTGTCCTGTGCACGTATTGGCATGAGAAAAATGGTTTTGAGGACAGCCATTAGTACTCATCTCATTCTCGACCTACAAGATGTAGCATGGTACATGAGCCAAGTTCATTTCAAGACTCCACAAGTCAAAAGTTTCTATTCACAACACGATCACTTTGAGTACAGCCAGATTGCTGTCAAACAAGATGATCATGAAGGAGAAGCTTTGGTGACTGGTGACTACTGGCAGGTTGATCCACTACGTCGTGAACTCATCAGGCACCACAAGGACAAGAGAATGAACTTACATGAGATGACTCGATCAGAGAAAACTCCAATTCCAAAAGATCAACTTCTTGATGAGAGAGAAACCCACATGGAATTCCAGAAGAGCAAGAAGAAGGTTCTTCACAAGGACAACTGGCGCACTGAGAAGAAGAGGTTTTCTGAACAGAGTGAAGAGTTCTGGAAGGGCAAGACCATCTACAAGATCAAGGAGGACTACGTGATCCCAGATGACATTGTCAGAAGTGACATTGATCGTGCAAAGCCCTTTCGTGGAAACATTGATGATCTTTTTCACCCTGAGTCAGCCTCTTCAGTGCCATCAGGTGTACAGAAGAAGAAGCCAAGCTCCTTAAAGAAGGAGGAAGGCAAACCGATTTCAAATGGACCAGGCTCGAAAAAGATTGAGGTAGGTCCACCTGCAGCCAAAAGACACGTAGGTAAGCAGAAACCTCAGGTTGTCGATGACTCTCAATCAGGTTCATCAAGAAAGAAGGTTGTTGTCTCCTATCCCAAGCTTGATGAAGAAGATGAGCTTGATAAGGTAGCTAGGGAGTTAGGTTTGGACAAAATTGATTCAGATGAACCTCAAGTCATTGAACCAAAACATTCTGCACCTGCGCGCAACCGTGGTAAGCAAGATTCAGAAAGTCAAGTTGAGAAACTAGGTAGTGATGCTCTTGAGCCTAGGCGAGTTTCGATTCCACTGCCTGGTAGTGAAGTGCAAGCCATGACACCAGCATACAGAAAGATGCTCAGGAAACTGGAGGATAGTGTGGAACTTTACAAGCTTCATATCAAACACTATCACATGTCTCCTACTCAATTCAGACGAAGGACTTCCATGTTAGGACTTCCTGACTCTGTCTATCAGAAGTATGAGGAGATGTACAACAAGTGTCGTGTGTGTAGTACTTCCATTGCACCACCGCCGCGAGCCAGAATTTCAGGCATACGATCCACCAACTTTGGAGATGTTATCTTTGTTGATCATGCTGAAATTCAGTTGAGGAAGAACAAGTACATGGTGTTGCTTGTTCTTGATGGTGCAACCAACTTACTTTGGGCTACGGCACAAAACTCACTGAACAACAAGGAGACCATTCAGGCTCTAAGGTTGTGGAGTGATGAACACAATTGTATGCCTAAAGCCATTGTAGGTGATGAAGCTTTCTTTCAAGAAGACTTTCTGACTTATTACCGAACTCATGGTATCAAGGAATGTCCCTGTGGTTCAAGAACCCCATGGCCTAACAGAGCTGAATCAGCTGTCAGACTTTTCAAACGACAATGGCAAATCATGTCCAAGAACCTTGAAGATGATAGGTTCAAAGGAATCACCATCAGAGAAGCTGTGAAGCGTACTGTTTGGGCCAGAAACACTCAACTCACTG